CCCCCTGCCCTGAGCCCCCTGCACCCCTCCTGTACCCCCTGGGGGCAGGGAGGGGCAGAGTTGGGATGGGGGTATGGAAGGGGTGGGAAGAGGTGGGGCCTCACGGAAGGGGTGGAGTGAGGCAGGGGCGGGGCAGTGGTCAGTGGTGCAGCCCTCCGGCAAATGTACTAGTCCTCATGTGGACCTTGTCGTCATTTGAGTTTGAGACCCCTGATTTAAATAAAATGTCAGTGCTCTTTTATCAACTGTGTGGAGTTTTGATTCTCCCAAGTGTGCATGAGATGTGGAAAAGAACACTAGTAGAATAAGTGACTGGTCAAAATGTAAGTCAATGAGGGGAGGAGCAGCAGGCAGCACAAGAGCACTCCAACTGCTATGAAGTTTCACTGTCAAAGTTGCAATCAAGAATGGTACACGTAAAGGCCACTCAAAGACATAGTAACAGGTCTGTGACCCTATGCTTTGTCTATATATAGGCTTGAATTGGTTTAACTTAATTAGTTTAAAATCAATTTGGTTAAAGCAGGGGTGGCCAACCTGTGGCTCCGGAGCCACATGCAGCTCTTGAGAAGTTAATATGCGGCTCCTTGTATAGGCACTGACTCCGGGGCTGGAGCTACAGGCGCCAACTTTCTTATGTACTGGAGGGTGCTCACTAATCAACCCCTGGCTCTGCCACAGGCCCTGTCCCCACTCCACCCCTTCCCGTCCCCTCCCCTGAGCCCTTCCGTGCCCTCACTCCTCCCCACCACCCCTGAGCCTCCTGCATGCCACAAAACAGCTGATTGGGAGGTGCGGGGAGGGAGGGGCTGATTGGCGGGGCTGCCAGTGGGTGGGAGGTGCTGGGAGCTGATGTATTACTGTAGCTCTTTGGCAATGTACATTGGTAAATTCTGGCTCCTTCTCAGGCTGGCCACCCCAGGTTAAACCATTACAATTTTGATGTGTAAAAGAAACCGTAGTTCTCTGCCCCAGCAAACAGATACTCAAACTGCCTGCACTGTCAAACTTCTACCACTGTATTCAATGAGAAAAATATTAGCAAAAACATTCAGTTAGTATGTTCAGCCGTTAATGTTGACAATTAAGCATCTTAGATTTCAGTGTTCACACCCCATTGAGCTGGGGGAAGAGGGAGGCAGTTTACACCCATATATTACTTCAGAACCATTAAAGGATGCATATATAAGTTACCACTCAAATTCTACATCTGATTGCACTCCTTCACAATTATAGAACATACCTGTAGTAGAACCAGAGGCTTAAAATGGAAAGCAAATACTAACCTTATAGTCCATTGTATTGCATTTTATAGTGAGGAAAATGAGACAAGATTTCGTCAAAGGTGAGACGGACATGTTAATACACAGACAGGAAATCATACCCTTACTGGTGCAAAAGTGTTCTTCCAAAAACATTAGTGACAACAGTGTCTTAATTTTGGAATGGTTAATCTTTAAACAGGTAATTGTAAAGCCACCAAGCTAACAATTTCCAGTTCTGAGAATTTAAATTTGCTAAATCATAATGACCATTTACCCGAGTAAAGTTTTTATGTCGACCTCTGTACCTACCTACTGGTTGCCCCTTCAAGATCCCTCTGTTTGGCTGGGGGTCCTCCACTATCCGAGAATCCACGCCTAAAAAAAAATACAAGACGTAAGACAGGAAGTAGTAGTCTGAGCAGAGACCTGGAAGCTGGAGCTCCGGAGTTCCCAATGCATGTCGGTCACTGATTCAATTGCGACCCTAGGTAAGTCAAACCTCCTGTCTGTGTGGTTAATGCTTGCCTACCTCGCAGGAAATAACAAGCATAATAATTCACTATATTTTGGTAACAGCCAAATTATATAGCACTCTCCAAACACTAAGTAAATGTCCTATATTAGTGGCATTAAGTACACAATAACCCTGTAATTTTGACCCTCCAACACCTGATATTCTACTATGGGAAAGTATCATTTAGCCAGGGCAGACAGTTGGCCACAAAATAAATAAGCGTCTCATGTAGTCACAGCTAAAGCTAACATGTACACAAACATGTAGTAACTTTTATTTTACCTAATTCTGAAGTTTCTTACCTTAGCAATATGCTACCACGCCCTCTACCTCCACCAGGGCCTGTGATGGTCAATAATCTACCTTGAGCGGGCCTGGAAGAAATGTACTAGGTGTTAAAACTTGACCAAGGTAAATAAATACATGCTCTCTCTGGCCATCTGCACAGCCTCACACACCAAACATGAACTGTGACAGAACCTTGCTTGGAAAAACCTTGCCCGGGGGGAGCAGCAGCACAAACCTTGGGGAGATGCACAGGGACGTGACTGCCACTTGGCGTCGCCAACATTGTATTGAAAATAAAAAAGGGGGGCTGTTTTCGCACCTTACCCCTCCTCTCAATATCATTAATTAATAATAATAATAATAATAAGCAGCAGCGCTCACCTACATTCATGAAAAAAATAAGGAACTTTTGTGTGTCCCTTAGACACGTTACCGACCCTGCGGGCAAATCACACGCACCGGGTCCCTGCAATCACGAGGTGGTGAGAGTCGATCCAACGCCCTGCCCAGCAAGCCCACAGGAGCAGCAAGGAAAGCGGCGGGGAGCCCCCGTCTGCACGCTAGAGGGAGGCCGCAGCGCAGGCCAGGGCGCTCCGTGTGTGTGGGGGGGGGGGGTCGTCTCCCGCGCTCACGGGTCGGAACCTGGTGCCCGAAGCAAGAAGGGGCGCCGGGCTGTGGCCTGGGGAACCCCCAAACGCGCGAACAGTCGGCGGGGTTTGCTGCCAGGGTCGGACATGCGCGGCCCCATCGCCCCGCAAGAAAAGGAGCCGGCAGCCTCGGGGCGCGCGCCCGCCCAGCCCCGGCCTCGCCTCACCTCACATCGTTGGGGTCCCGGCCCGTGAGTTTACGGATATTCTCATCCACGTGCTTGAGGCTCTCCTTGGCCTTCTCCAGCTGCTCCTGCAGCGCGCGCACCGCCACCGCCATCCCGCCAGCAGCGCGGCCTAGCCAGGGGCCTAGCGCAAAGCACCGCTGGGTAACGGGGAAACACGCTCCGCCTACAGGCAACTCGTCCCGCTCTGTAACTCGCCAATCACAGAGCTCAACGCCAGAGTGACACCAAGAGCCAACCACCGACCATCCGCGCCCGCCAATCACCAACCCCTGACGAAGAACGACACCTCCCAGCGCCAAGAATCGCCCGACTCATCTGCCAATTAAAGAGCCCCATGACGGAGTGACACCCCCACAGCCCATCACCAGTCGCCTTTGCCTACCATATCTGCGAATCACCAAACGGACGAACAAAATGACACCGCTAGAAGCCAACCAGCACAGTTTCCTTCCTTCAGGTCAACCAATCAGAAGCGGAGTAATACTGTCCATCTCCACCCACTCCGAACTAATCCCAACTTTCCCACCGAGGCGCCTCAAAGGCAAGAGGCAGAACTAACAGGTCTGGGCAGTAGCCAATCAGCTCCTACTTTGTTATAAGTGAACCAATAACAAGGCATTTTATTTGGAAACAAGAAAAGAAGAGCGATCATCTACCCGCCCGCCCGGCCTGGGGTGTAGCCAGACAGCGCGCGCGCTGTTTGCTTCTTTCCCTTGGAGTCGCCCCCTCGTGAGCTGCCTCGCCCATGGGGCGAACTGGCTGCGGAGGAGCCGAGAGCCGCCCGGGGCTCGCTGGGCAAGGCGAGCCGCCTGCTTGGCGCTGTTGTCCTGTCCTTCCCAGCCACTTCAGAGACTTCAGAGCGCCGCCTGCCCTGCTCCGGTGTGCGCCCGCCACCCTGCACCGCCACGGCCCCTCGGCCGGTCGTTGCAGCGTGATTGGCAGGGGGCAGATCGTCCCCGGCACAGTTCTGCAGGCCGTGCAGAGAGCTCCCTACTCAAGCCTCCTGCTCATTGCCCAGGGTTTTGTAGCGCGCAATGAGCCGGGTAGCAAGTGTCTCTGATCTGGCTGTAAAATTCCTTATTTGCTAATCTAGGTTCCCGCTGTTTAGGTTCTTCTACTGCATCCAGCTCTGCGGCATGCTCACAGAATTAGCATGAAATGAAAATCTCTCTCTCTTGCTCCGTATCCCGTAGGAACTTGATGGATTTGGCTTTGTGGTGGTGTGCGAAGTTTAGGTGAACGAAATGGGCCAATTTCCCATCTGAAGTCAACAAGCAAGGGACCATGAATGAAAGATGGGTCATTGTGCTGGTGCTGGGTGGTGCTGATGGCCTGGCCTAGATGATCTGGTCTGGCCTTAAATCTATGACTAAAATAGTGCGGATGAGGTGATAAGATAAATGTGAAGAAAGAGAAGTAAAAAGAACAGGAGGACTTGTGGCACCTTAGAGACTAACATTTATTAGAGCACAAGCTTTCGTGGGCTACAGCCCACTTCATCGGAAAAGTAAGTTTCTACTGCACCTCTAACATCATCCTTAGTTTAATCCCAGCTGTATCTGCAGAGGTAGAGGGTGCCATTATAAATTTACATCCAGCTTGTATCATTCCCCAACCCACACACACCCTAGAGCTGCCAAGATTTCTCCTGTAGACTGCGATTTGTCCCCTTTATAATGAGTATCTGCCACAAAGAGAACTCTGTTACTGGCATTAGCTTAAAAAAAAAGGTAAAATGCCATTGACCAAACGATATGGGCAGAATGTCTATAACAGCTTTCAGAGCCGGTAGAGCTACTCGTGTGCCAGTTTAAAACATGAGTGAGACCACGGGCTGGGCATGGGTGTAAAGGGGAGCCATTATACCTAGACTATAGGGAGAAAAGGGACCTCAATATTTTAGAATATCTGACAAAGTAGTCCACAAGTTTCACACCCAGCATCCTCTCCCTCCTGGGATACATCCCCACATTTTAACTTGCCGGGCCGGGCCGGGCCTCGCCTCGCCTCGCCTCGCCTCACCTCCCCCTCCTTTGCCCCGCCTTGCGCAGCGCGCTCCCCCTGCCCTCTTACGCTTTTCTCCCGGGGGGCGGGGCCCTTGGAGTCTGACAGCGGGAAGCCCCGCCCCTGCCCGGAAGCCGCCCGTTGCCTTGGCAGTGAGGCCGCGCTGCTTCCCGGAGCGGCCGGGGCCCGGTCTGGGAAGGAAGGGGCCGGGGAGGCAGCGCGAGGCCGGGCCCTGTCCTCCAGCCCCCGTCATGACTAGGCCGGAGATGGCGGACGAGACGCTGTTCCTGCTGCTGCACAACGAGATGGTGTCTGGGCTGTACCGGGCCGCGGAGCACGGCGAGGGGGTGAGGCGGGGACTGCCGGCGGGGCGGAGACCGCGATTCACGGGCACTCGCACGCCTTGGCCTGCGGGCGGTCTCCCGCGGGTTCCTTATCCAGCTGGTCCCTACGCTCCTGCTTGGCACGATGCCTGTGCCCGGAGCAAACCCCACTCCCACCAGGGCCTCTGGGTGCCGGGAGTACCGTGGGGCAAAGCCCAGCCTGGCGCTGTCCTGGCCGAAGCTAGAGAAAGAAAGACATGAACAAGTTTATTTCCTGAACTCAAAATATCTGATTCTTTTGTAAAATCTTTCAGGAGAGCCCGCTGGCCAGATCTTACTATTAGCATGTGTTTGCAGGGGAGGAGCACGAGCTGAAATAGCATATCGTAGTCTATAGCTTGAAGCCATTTGGGATGGATGTGTTCTTATTTTCCCTATACACCCGTGCTACAAAACTGGCTTTAACAGAATATGAAAATTTAACTTTTGTATCTTCTAGGAAAATGGACGATGCATCACTAAACTGGAAAATATGGGGTTTAGAGTAGGACAAGGATTAATTGAAAGGTAAGAATGTCTCACTTTGCTGCCCCCCCGTCCCCTCCCCCGCAACTCTTTCCCCAGATATACTGTGTAGACTGGAACCCTCCATGAATTTTTGGTATTGAAGTAAGGTTTACAGGACTGTACTTTATAGCATCACTTCTAGTGCTTTTTTAAAAAGAGAGACAATGTTTGCTCACCTTCAGGCCTTTGGTACAGTATCTTCAGGCCTTTGGCACCTTCAGACCTTTGGTACCTTCAGACCTTTGGTTAGAGTAGCTGACTTTAATGGATGATTGGATACTTTTGTTAGCAGTCCATCTACTTCAACTTAAAATCATCCATAATTCTTGGATGAATGCAATGTAGTACAGGTGATTTATAGTTCTTTAATTGTCACTTGTTCTAGCACCTTCTCTTTCGACGCCTCATTCTCTTATGGGTCATATTTATTACCTGAAGATAGGATGCGGTGGAGATAAGTATATGGTAAAGACTGAGGCAAACACATTACATAGTTACTCTAATGTCGTTTTCCTCATGAATTGTGCCTTTTAGGCTTTGTCTACACTACAGAGTTTTGTCGACGCAAGTTACGCTGACATACAGCCATTGCTGTAGTTAAACTGCTGTGGCATATCCACACTACACTCTTTGTGTCAGTTGAGTGCATCCATAATAGCAGCTTTTGCATCTGCATCGATACAGAGAGCAGGGCACTGTGGGTAGCTATTCCACTGTGCAGCTGGCTGCAGGGTGCTTTGGGAAGGGTTTGCAATGCCTCATGGGGACAAATACAGCATCACATGATGAAAGTTTCTCAATCCCATTGTTTAGTGGGCATCCTACTAGATTGCTAACCGCTTTTCAACTTCCTTGGTAACGTGGAACCTAGTCATCTCTGTCAGAAAGCATGGCTCCTGCATTGCTGTTCACTATTGTGCTGTGTGTTCTGAACACAAGGCTATTTGGAGGAGCCCAGTGGGGGGCTATTTGGCTGGGGGATGCCTTGAAGGAGCATATTAACATGGATCCACAGTAATGTGTGTTGCTGTAGTGTGCTGAGCCTGGCATTGTTTGTTTGCACCTTTCTATGAACCATCTAATGATTGCAGTGTGTGCCCAAAAAGTAACACATTTTAAATCACTTTTTAAAGTAGTACTCGGTAATATGACCAAACTGATATTGCTAAACACTAACACAAACCCACAGAAGTGTATATGTGTGTGTGGCAGGGAGTGTGTGTATGAGAGAGAGACAGAGTATGTGTTGGGGGTGTGTGCATGTGAGAGAGAGACCGAGTGTGTGTTGGGGGAGAGTGAGTGTTGGCATGCTGTCTCCTTAAGTTCAGACAGCAGCCGGAAGCATCCAATCCTGAGGCAGAAGCTGGTGGTGCACAGATAGCTGGTGTCTCCTTATACCCCCAGCTCAGCAGAGACCAGTACACTAACAAGGGGAAAGGGACACCCTGATATCAACCTCCCGTCTCACTCCCTGGCTCAGTACAGCACAAGTCTCTTCCCCCACACCCCCAGTAGCAGCAGCCCGCCCTGCCTGCCTGCTGCTGTGGTCCTAGTGCCAGGGAGAGCAGGATTTCGCATTAAAGTTTTGATTCAGTGATTCCCTCTGAATTCTCTCACAGCCTCCTCTCCCCACAGACCAAGGAGATCCACCTCCTTCCCTGTAGTTCAGGCAGGTGTGCATTTGCTGCCAGAAAACAGCATGTTCAGCTGGGCAGTAGCTATGGGAGTTCTCTAGCTGAGCAGTTTCAAAACTTCCTGGGGTTTTAAAGGGGAGGGGTGCATACCTGTGTAGCTGGATGCAGGGCAGCAGAGTTCAAAACAGTGAGCAGAGTGATCATGGTGGCCATTGTGGGATACTTCTTGGAGGACAGTTATGGTGACATCTACACTGATGCTTTTTTGATCTAACTTTGCCGCAAAAAACTCTACACCTCTCATTGAGGTGGTTTTATTTTGTCAGCAAAGCAGGAGAGTTTTGTCGGCAGGAGGAACATTTTAGTGTGTATACCTCCACTATTTTTGTCGACAAAAGCTGCCTTTTGCTGACAAAACTGTGTAGTGTAGACAAGGCCTTACTCCCTTATAGCCCACCAGACTTACTGCTTCTCTGACAGGCTTACCACTTTTGATATACTTCATTAATTTCTTGTTTTTTCTGGTATTTGTTTTTCAAAATCCCTTTTAGCCTCCTAATTTACATCATACATTTTATCTGCCACAGGTTATGCTCCTTGCTCTTGGTTGCAGTAGGGTCAAATTTCCCATTTCTTAAGGATGCCTCTTTGACCCTCCTGAACCTTGCCATTTAACCATACTGTATTATTTTTCTTGTCTTCCTGTTTTTTTTTTTTCTTTTAGGAATGTGATTCACTTATAGTTTACTCAAGTGAACTCCATGCTGAATCTAAAGATTTTAGTTTCCTCACTTTTTGGGTTTCATTGATGGTTTGTTTTGTTTGTTTTGTTTTGTTTTTTAAATCCCCTTTCCTAAACATATAGGTGTGTGTGTGTGTGTGTGTGTGTATATATATATATGTATATGAACAAATAATGCTAGTGAGGGGCAGCTGGAGGTAAACTATATAGAGGGATGGAAAAACAATGATTAAAAATAAGTGTCCCCAGAATCACTCTTTTTAGGAAGGTGCGGCAAGTGAAAGGGTATGTATTTGTCTCTAGGGACTAGTTCTTTTGCCATATTTGATGGAATTTTTGTTTTGAAAATAATAGTGAGCATCCAATAGTATACCATGTGTGAGCAGTATGTTGTCTTCTGACAGTTATTTTAACACAGTTGCTGGTGCATACATCTGAAGCATCACGTGCAAACAACATTAACTTTGCTTGTCTGCTCTACCTTAATACTCAGTGCTTTGAATCCTTCCTGCATCCCTGTCAGCCATTCTTTCCCCAGGATTAAAGTTAGTGAATTCAAAGATATTGGTCCCACCATAATTTTGCCACATCATGCATAGGTATTAAGATAACATAAAAGCAACACACAATACTATGCGTACATGAGTGACAGTGGTCAAGGGAGTCTAATATTTGAATTTTCTGACTGTGTTATATACTTAAATCTCAACCAATGTTGCATATAGCTTTTTTTGGTCATTTACTTGACATGTGGTCAATTGAGAAAGTCACTGAACACCTGCGTTTACTTGAACAAAATCAACCTAACCATTTCTGCTCTCTTCTTAGGTTTACCAAAGACACTGCTAGATTCAAGGATGAGTTAGATATTATGAAGTTCATCTGCAAAGATTTTTGGACTACTGTATTCAAAAAGCAAATTGATAATTTAAGGACCAATCATCAGGTATTGATACTGTAGCATAAGAGTTAATTTGTGAAGCTTGTTATAAACATTTTATTATTTTGAAGGAATAATAATATTGCTTTAGTTTGTCTTGGTCTGAAATTAATCATACATATTTTCCATCAGGGATAACCTTTTTCTTTATATGGTCTTAGTTTAAAAAGTAGCTGTCCTTAGTTAAAAATAAATGTTTTAGATACTACTTTCAATGCAGACTTGACTATAATAAATATTGGAGTGGTGTTATAATGCAGACTTGGCTGTAATAAAAGCTTAGAGCGATGTTATAGTCTTTTGCCATTTTAAAAGACTAATGCCCAGATCATCAAAGGAATTTAGGCTTCTAACTTTCATTAAAATCAATAGCTGCTTAAATACCTTTGAGGATCTGAGCCTAAATGCCTGCAGTCCCCTAAACATTCTTTGTAGTACCGCTGCACCAACAGACCCAATGCAAGTACACAGTCCAAAAATGGAGCTGGCAATTGTGATTGAGTTTTGTTGTTGTACAACACATTTTTACATACCTGATGAATCATTTAATAGAAAGCAATTGTCAGACATGCTATCTCAAACTGCCTGCATAATATTTCTCTAGAATGAGTTCCTTGAACCATTTTTACTTTGAAGTCATTATTGTATGCTTTTGAATGTTGCCATTTGAAATACTTCCACCCGGCTAAACACATTTTGTATGAAACAGTAGACAAACTTTCACTGCAAATTGGCATCCCACTGATATGGCTCTGTATCCATGTCCCTTCCTCTGTGGAGCTAGCCAGTTCTCAGAGCTATAGCAGAATCATGTAAACAGCTGCTTTCATTGTTAGAGCCTCAAATCTCTGTTTTTTCTTTCCAATAATCCATGATATGGCACAATTCTCATGATAAAATTAGGGATGGGAGACTTGTATGAGGAAGAAATGGCTGCAAAAGGTACACTCTGTAAAGTATTTAACTTCCAGTGGGTATTTTATCACCAATACAATTTAACAAGGAATGCTTGCAGATTAGAAACTGTATACTCAAATTTAATAATTTGTTCTTTGTTCTAATAGTTATTATATTCCAAAAATATTTGAGATCTGTAATAGCAGAGCCTTAAACAATGTCAGTTTTATATATACCTTTAAATTCATTTTAAGTAATGTTAGGTTATAAATTGACAGAATCGTCCTTACCTCTTACAGCCAGAAATTAAACTTGGAGACATTTTCATTGCATGCTTAGATCAGCCTGTGCTCTTTTTTTATACTTTCTGTTACATAAAGTTATGTGGGCACCTTTTTAATATGTGCAGAGATGAATTATTAGAATCCTCTTTTATGCTGTTCATATCAGGGAGAAACTCATGTCCATATCCTCTCCAATGACTTTTTATTCTTAAATTATTTTGGGGGAAAGTAGTGGAGAAAAAATTTATAGTTTCTTAAGTATTAAAATGAACAAATATTAAAATATTAACAACAAACAAAATTTAATACATCAGAGCTGCTGTTAAAATTATTCTACAGCACTGGAAAGACTTCTCCCAATTACATGTAAGTCATCAGGCAAATCCCAGGTTCACAACTTTAACCCTTGAAAGATTTGTGCCAAAACTAAGTTAGGTATGCAGATACCACAACAATGAATGTGCTTTGCGAACCTGGGTTCATTACAGGATTCTAAATACAAAGAAAGTATCTTAAGAAAACATTATACACTTCTTATCAGCAAATTGATAATATGTATTAATGTAATATTGTGGTTTTGTATAAACTTGCAATTTGAAGTATCTTTTCTATGGCTCGTTTTTAAATTTTATTTTATAAAACTTAAACAATTCAGTTTAAACTTTCTGCTCTTTATTCTTTATATATAGTGTAGATCCAGTTTTCTGTTTCAATCTGAAAACATTTCTCTGTATTTGTAAATATCTCTTACAAAAAGATGAACTGATACTCTCCAAAAACCTTGATTACAATATGTTGCTAAATATCCTGCTAAAGGAAAAATTTCTTTTCCAATAGGGTATTTATGTACTTCAGGACAACAAATTTCGTCTCTTGACTCAGATGTCTACAGGAAAACAGTATTTAGAATATGCACCTAAGGTATTCTTCAGCTGTAGCCTAGAAAATTAGCAGTTTTAGATCTGTATTATCTTGATTCAATTGTACAAATTCTTATGACTGGAGTTGTGTGGCTAGAAAAGGTACAAAAATGTGTTTGAAGAATTTTCTTTGTAAGTGTTAAGTGTTAGACTAGATATCAGTAATGTTTTCTATTATATTTAGGTACAGTGAATGTGACTGGTGGGTCAGGAAATAATCATGGTCATTTTGAAGTTTAGCTGTGTTAGATTTGAGTGGCTTGTCTGACAGAGCTAGGTCTACACAGGGGTCTCTTCTGCTCTGCCTGTGAGTGGAACATCAACAAACAACACACCTTGCTCTATGGGGAATACTGAAATGGGAGTGACCATTAGCCTCTCAAAACTTTTTTCTTTTCCTTTAGTAGAAAGCATGTATTATCAGGAACCTTCCTGTCTTTCTCTTCCATTCCTTTTCTCCTAATTCCCAAGAGATGGTGAGATTATACTAAAGTGATGCTCAAAACAAGCTTTCAAAGATATTACATTTTTAAAAGAAATATCTTCCATCAGATTTTTATAAATAGCTCTTAGTTGTATTAATTTAAATACTGTATCTAACATAATAGGTTAGATAAGTTACATCAGTGCCTCAGCAGAGACTCTGCTGCTCTGAAATGGTTTTGGTCAGAGTGGATGTCAGAAATAGTATGCTCTATTCAATTATAATATACTATAAATAGCTCTTAGATGATAGCTTTTGATCTCTTAACCTAAGCCATGACTATGGATCTTTATAATACTGGATAGAGTCTTGGGAGATTAGCCTCTTTCTGTCTAGTCTGCTTGAGATACTGTTTTCTATTTTATATATTTTTCTGTAAAAATATTTGGAGATATCTTTAAGTTCATAACATTTACCCATTTTCTCAGGATAAGCTAAGCTCTGATTTGCCAGGAGGTGTCTCGAGTTTAAAATCACTCCCTGTGTATTCTGGTATGAAGTTTATATACCCTCTGGCCAAATGTCTTGCAAAATGTTAGCATGTGCTCAAATGTTGAAACAAAACCAGAACTACCACATGGGCTGTTTTTATGCATTTGTAGTTAGATTGTGATACAATGCTAGTATACTTTTATTGTAAACTTCATTTTCAATGATGCTGACATAAAATAAAATGTAATTTTATGTTTAGTATCTGGCATTCACTTGTGGACTAATCAGAGGTGGCTTATCAAATCTGGGAATAAAGAGTATTGTGACAGCTGAAGTTTCAGCAATGCCTGCATGTGAGTACATCTCAGATTAGACAACTGTTGTAAGATCATTTAATAGGTTTCTTTATTTACTTCATCACTGTTCAAGTGTTCAGTGTAGGACTAGAATTTAAAGCTGTACTAAGTGTGGATGTCAGGAAATGGCTTATTTTGAGTATTATTGAAGGTTGTTCTATTGAAAGAGCAGAGAAGGCTAGCACAAAGAAAAAACATAATTATAAAATGAAAAGCAAAACCAAGAAAAATACATAGAAAAGAAAGACTGGGGAAAATGAGAAGCAGCAATCAAGCCAGGATGTGGCAGTAGGGGAAAGAAGGGGAAGATTCCAACCAAATGAGGTTGAGAATTGCTGTTTGAATATCTTCTATCTCTAGAAAATGACTACTAATTTTGTAGAATTCCAAGTGCCAATGGGATTTAACTTTTTTAGTTTTCAGAGTAACAGCCGTGTTAATCTGTATTCGCAAAAAGTTAAGCGAAAAAGTTAAGCACCTTAGAGACTAACCAATTTATTTGAGCATAAGCTTTCGTGAGCTACATAAGCTTTCGTGAGCTGTAGCTCACGAAAGCTTATGCTCAAATAAATTGGTTAGTCTCTAAGGTGCCACAAGTACTCCTTAACTTTTTTAGTGGTTCTCAAACTTTTTTTACTGGTGACCCCCTCACATAGCTAGTCTCTGAGTGTGACCCCCCTTATTAATTAAAAACAAGTTTTTATATATTTAACACCATTATAAATGCTGGAGGCAAAGCGGGGTTTGGGGTAGAGGCTGACCGCTTGTGACCCCCCCCCCCCATGTAATAGCCTTGTGACCCCCTGAGAGGTCCCGACCCCCAGTTTGAGAACCTATTTTAGTACAACTTGGATTATTGCTTGCAAAATGAACATGGTATATGTAGTTACTGACAAACTACCCAGTCTCCACTCCTCTTCAATATTTACACGAAACCACTAGAAGGGGTGGTGACATAATAGGCTTTAAGTGTGTTCCCACAGGGCTTTGCACTAGTTTAAATTGTTTTTGTTTTTAACAGATTTAAAATGAAATGGATGCACCTTTGAACATAGACAAACTTGTAAAAATACTTTTAACTGGGTTTAACAAATGTAGTAGAATGGCTAAATTTGTTTTACTGGGAAGAAGAGGACTGCACTGTCTCCTTCTAGCTCTTTTGAACAAAGCAAGTATGAGAAGTTGCTGCCATTGGAAGGATTTACAGATAATACTGATATTTTGTAACTTGATTCTGCTTTTCTTTGCAGGTAAATTTCAGGTGATGATACAGAAGATGTAGAACATGTTCAGATCTGTGTATCTGCCCTTTTTTAAAAACCCTGTGTACACTAAAGATGTCTTGATTCATTTAGCTTCACCTGTATACCTTATAAATTATAGTAGCATGCAGCAAAATTCCTGCATTATGTAAAGTAAATATTAACTTAATAAAAATAGCTTAACACGATATTAGTATCTTGGTATGTACTAAGACATTGGGGGAGGGATAGCTCAGTGGTTTGAGCATTGGCCTGCTAAACCCAGGGTTGTGAGTTCAGTCCTTGAGAGGGCCATTTAGGGATGTGGGCCAAAAAAAAAAAAATTGGGGATTAGTCCTGCTTTGAGCAGGGGGTTGGACTAGATGACCTCCTGAGGTCCCTTCCAACCCTGATATTCTATGATTCTATATCCACTACAATACACATTCAATTGATTAAATAACTTTAACAGAAATACATGCATTTCAGTTACTAGATTGCTGTATGATGAAGATTGCAGGCAGATGTTGTTAAGGTTCCTTCCCCACTCTGAACTCTAGGGTAAAGATGTGGGGACCTGCATGAAAGACCCCCTAAGCTTATTCTTACCAGTTTAGGTTAAAAACTTCCCCAAGGTACAAGCTTTGCCTTGTCCTTGAACAGTATGCCGCCACCACCAAGCGTTTTAAATAAAGAACAGGAAAAGAGCCCACTTGGAGACGTCTTCCCCCAAAATATCCCCCCCAAGCCCTTCACACTCTCTCCTGGGGAAGGCTTGATAATAATTCTTACCAATTGGTACAGGTGAACACAGACCTAAACCCTTGGATCTTAAGAACAATGAAAAATTAATCAGGTTCTTAAAAGAAGAATTTTAACTAAAGAAAAGGTAAAAGAATCACCTTTGTAAAATCAGGGTGGTAAATACCTTACAGGGTAATCAGATTAAAAACATAGAGGATCCCTCTACGCAAAACCTTAAGTTACAAAAAGACACAAAAACAGCACAGCTTATTTTACAAGCCATTAAACAAAAGAAAATCTAACAAAAGAAAATCTAAAAATCTAGCTAGATTATTTACTAACTTTATAGAAGTTGTAAGGCTTGCATTCCTGATCTGTTCCTGGCAAAAGCATCACACAGACAGACCAAACCCTTCCCCCCCGTCCAGATTTGAAAGAATCTTGTCCCCTCGTTGGCCATTTTGGGTCAGGTGCCAGTGGGGTTACCTTAGCTTCTTAATCCTTTACAGGTGAAAGAGTTTTGCCTGTGGCCAGGAGGGATTTTATAGCACTGTATACAGAAAGGTGGTTACCCTTTCCTTTATATTTATGACACGCCCCCCCAAATCACAGATAGGGGGAAACACTGGCTGTGATTTCTTCCTGGAGCTTGAGGAGAAAACAAGAGTTAATAAGACACATGCATCTCTAAATATACTACTAACTGTATAAAGACTAACAATATTTTCCACATCTTAAGGACAATTTGAACCAGTTGATTCTGGGAAACTTTCACAGGAGAGTACATCAGCCACTTTGTTAGAAGCTCCTGAAATGTGTTGTATGTTGAAATCAAAATTTGGAGAGCTAAACGCCACCGAATAAGTTTTTTATTTCCCTTGGCGATATGAAGCCACTGTAGCGCAGCATGGTTGGTTTGCAGGTGGAAACGCTGTCCCCAAACGTATGGGCGTAGCTTTTCCAGAGCGTAGACAATGGTGTAACATTCCTTTTCACTGATTGACCAGTGGCTTTTCCTCTCAGACAGCTTTTTGCTGAGAAACACTACAGGATGGAACTCTTGATTCAGTCCTTCCTGCATTAAGATTGCTCCCACACCACGCTCGGACGCATCTGTGGTTACTAGGAACGGTTTGTCAAAGTCTGGGGCCCTTAGCACAGGGTCAGACATGAGTGTCACTTTAAGCTGGTTAAAAGCCTTCCGACACTCTTCAGTCCCTTGAACTGCATTTGGCTGTTTCTTTTTGGTTAGGTCTGTTAGTGGAGCGGCAATTTGGCTGTAGTACGGTACAAATCGCCTGTAATATCCGGCCAAGCCTAAGAAGGATTGAACCTGTTTTTTTTACTTTGGGACAGGCCACTTTTGGATAACATCCACTTTGGCCTGTAGGGGGTTGATAGTTCCTTGACTCACCTGGTTTCCAAGGTAAGTCACTCTGTTTAGGCCTATTTGACACTTCTTAGCCTTAACAGTTAGTCCTGCCTCCCTTATGCGCTCAAAGACTTTTTGTAGATGTTACAGGTGTTCTGCCCAGGAATCTGAAAATATGGCCACATGGTCAAGGTAGGCGACTGCATATTTTCCCGATCCTGCTAGGAGACCATCTACAAGTTTTTGGAAGGTGGCGGGTGCATTTCGCAGCCCGAAAGGCAGCACATTAAATTCATACAGCCCGACATGTGTGAGGAAGGCTGACCTTTCCTTGGTGGATTGATCTAGTGGTACCTGCCAGTACCCCTTGGTTAAGTCCAAGGTAGAGATGAACTGGGCCCGTCCCAGTTTTTTTAATAGTTCATCTGTGCGTGGCATTGGATAGTTGTCTGGGCGAGATACAGCATTTAGCTTACGGTCCCATGCAAAATCATATCTTCCCCATCTGGTTTGGGAACTAGAACCACTGGAGATGCCCATGCACTGCCAGAAGGGCGGATTACATCCATCTGTAGCGTAACCTGGATCTCCTGTTTTATAGCAGTTTTGTAAAATCAGGATGGTAAATACCTTACAGGGTAATCAGATTCAAAACATAGAGAATCCCTCTAGGCAAAACCTTAAGTTACAAAAAGACACAAAAACAGGAATACACATTCCCTCCAGCACAGCTTATTTTACAAGCCATTAAACAAAGAAAATCTAACGCTTTTTCTAGCTAGATTACTTACTAAGGGTATGTCTACACTAAGGAATAAGGTCGAATTTATAGAAGTCGTTTTTTTAGAAATCGGTTTTATATATTCGAGTGTGTGTGTCCCCACAGAAAATGCTCTAAGTGCATTAAGTGCATTAACTCGGCGGAGCGCTTCCACAGTACCGAGGCTAGAGTCGACTTCCGGAGCGTTGCACTGTGGGTAGCTATCCCACAGTTCCCGCAGTCTCCGCTGCCCATTGGAATTCTGGGTTGAGATCCCAATGCCTGATGGGGCTAAAACATTGTCGCGGGTGGTTCTGGGTACATATCGTCAGGCCCCCGTTCCCTCCCTCCATCCGTGAAAGCAAGGGCAGACAATCATTTCGCGCCTTTTTTCCTGAGTTACCTGTGCAGACGCCATACCACGGCAAGCCTGGAGCCCGCTCAGGTAACCATCACCCTATGTCTCCTGGGTGCTGGCAGACACGGTACAGCATTGCTACACAGTAGCAGCAACCCCTTGCCTTGTGGCAGCAGACGGTACAGTACGACTGGTAGCCGTCATCGTCATGTCTGAGGTGCTCCTGGTTGCCTCTGTGAGGTCGATCAGGAGCGCCTGGGCAGACATGGGCGCAGGGACTAAATTTGGAGTGACTTGACCAGGTCATTCTCTTTAGTCCTGCAGTCAGTCCTATTGAACCGTCTTATGGTGAGCGGGCAGGCGATACGGACTGCTAGCAGTCGTACTGTACCATCTTCTGCTGAGCAGCCATGAGATGTGGATGGTATGCAGTCCTTCTGCACCGTCTGCTGCCAGCCAAAGATGTAAAAGATAGATGGAGTGGATCAAAACAAGAAATAGACCAGATTTGTTTTGTACTCATTTGCTTCCCCCCCTCCCCTATCGAGGGGACCCATTCTTCTAGATCACACTGCAGTCACTCACAGAGAAGGTGCAGCGAGGTAAATCTAGCCATGTATCAATCAGAGGCCAGGCTAACCTTCTTGTTCCAATAAGGACAATAACTTAGGTGCACCATTTCTTATTGGAACCCTCTGTGAAGTCCTGCCTGAAATACTCCTTGATGTAAAGCCACCCCCTTTGTTGATTTTAGCTCCCTGAAGCCAACCCTGTAAGCGCCCCTCCCAGCGTCAGAGCAATGGCAAACAATCGGGCATCTGAGAGTGCTGTCCAGAGCAGTCACAATGGAGCACTCTGATGGGGCTAAAACATTGTCGCGGGTGGTTCTGGGTACGTGTCGTCAGGCCCCCGTTCCCTCCCTCCGTGAAAGCAAGGGCAGACAATCATTTTGCACCTTTTTTCCTGAGTTACCTGTGCAGACGCCATACCACGGCAAGCATGGAGCCCGCTCAGGTAACCGTCACCCTATGTCTCCTGGGTGCTGGCAGACGTGGTACGGCTTTGCTGCACAGTAGCAGCAACCCATTGCCTTCTGGCAGCAGACGGTGCAATACGATTGGTAGTCGTCCTCGTCGTGTCCGAGGTGCTCCTGGCCACGTCGGCTGGGAGCGCCTGGGCAGACATGGGCGCAGGGACTAAATTTGGAGTGACTTGACCAGGTCATTCTCTTTAGTCCTGCAGTCAGTCCTATTGAACCGTCTTATGGTGAGCGGGCAGGCGATACGGACTGCTAGCAGTCCTATTGTACCATCTTATGCCAGGCAGGCAAGAGATGAAGATGGCTAGCAGTCGTACTGTACCATCTTCTGCCGAGCAGCCATGAGATGTGGATGGCATGCAGTCCTTCTGCACCGTCTGCTGCCAGCCAAAGATGTAAAAGATAGATGGAGTGGGTCAGAACAAGAAATAGACCAGATTTGTTTTGTACTCATTTGCCTCCTCCCCTGTCTAGGGGACTCATTCCTCTAGATCACACTGCAGTCACTCACAGAGAAGGTGCAGCGAGGTAAATCTAGCCATGTATAAATCAGAGGCCAGGCTAACCTCCTTGTTCCAATAAGAACGATAACTTAGGTGCACCATTTCTTATTGGAACCCTCCGTGCAGTCCTGCCTGAAATACTCCTTGATGTACAGGCACCCCCTTTGTTGATTTTAGCTCCCTGAAGCCAACCCTGTAAGCCGTGTCGTCAGTCGCCCCTCCCTCCGTCAGAGCAACGGCAGACAATCGTTCCGCACCTTTTTTCTGTGCGGACGCCATACCAAGGCAAGCATGGAGGCCGCTCAGCTCACTTTGGCAATTAGGAGCACATTAAACACCACACGCATTATCCAGCAGTATATACAGCACCAGAACCTGGCAACGCGATACCGGGCGAGGAGGCGACGTCAGCGCGGTCACGTGAGTGATCAGGACATGGACACAGATTTCTCTGAAAGCATGGGCCCTGACAATGCATGCATCATCGTGCTAATGGGGCAGGTTCATGCTGTGGAACGCCGATTCTGGGCTCGGGAAACAAGGACAGACTGGTGGGACCACATAGTGTTGCAGGTCTGGGACAATTCCCAGTGGCTGCGAAACTTTCGCATGCGTAAGGGCACTTTCATGGAACTTTGTGACTTGCTTTCCCCTGCCCTGAAGCGCATGAATACCAAGATGAGAGCAGCCCTCACAGTTGAGAAGCGAGTGGCGATAGCCCTGTGGAAGCTTGCAACGCCAGACAGCTACCGGACAGTTGGGAATCAATTTGGAGTGGGCAAATCTACTGTGGGGGCTGCTGTGATGCAAGTAGCCCACGCAATCAAAGATCTGCTGATATCAAGGGTAGTGACCCTGGGAAATGTGCAGGTCATAGTGGATGGCTTTGCTGCAATGGGATTCCCTAACTGTGGTGGGGCTATAGACGGAACCCATATCCCTATCTTGGCACCGGAGCACCAAGCCGCCGAGTACATAAACCGCAAGGGGTACTTTTCGATAGTGCTGCAAGCTCTGGTGGATCACAAGGGACGTTTCACCAACATCAACGTGGGATGGCCGGGAAAAGTGCATGATGCTCGCATCTTCAGGAACTCTGGTCTGTTTCAAAAGCTGCAGGAAGGGACTTTATTCCCAGACCAGAAAACAACTGTTGGGGATGTTGAAATGCCTATATGTATCCTTGGGGACCCAGCCTACCCCTTAATGCCATGGCTCATGAAGCCGTACACAGGCAGCCTGGACAGTAGTCAGGAGCTGTTCAACTACAGGCTGAGCAAGTGCAGAATGGTGGTAGAATGTGCATTTGGACGTTTAAAGGCGCGCTGGCGCAGTTTACTGACTCGCTTAGACCTCAGCGAAACCAATATTCCCACTGTTATTACTGCTTGCTGTGTGCTCCACAATATCTGTGAGAGTAAGGGGGAGACGTTTATGGCGGGGTGGGAGGTTGAGGCAAATCGCCTGGCTGCTGGTTATGCGCAGCCAGACACCAGGGCGGTTAGAAGAGCACAGGAGGGCGCGGTACGCATCAGAGAAGCTTTGAAAACCAGTTTCATGACTGGCCAGGCTACGTTGTGAAAGTTCTGTTTGTTTCTCCTTGATGAAACCCCCCGCCCCTTGGTTCACTCTACTTCCCTGTAAGCTAACCACCCGCCCCTCCTCCCTTCAATCACCGCTTGCAGAGCCAATAAAGTCATTGTTGCTTCACATTCATGCATTCGTTATTCATTCATCACACAAATAGGGAGATGACTACCAAGGTAGCCCAGGAGGGGTGGTGGAGGAGGGAAGGAAAATGCCACACAGCACTTTAAGCACAGCACTTTAAAAGTTTACAACTTTAAAATTTATTAAATGACAGCCTTCTTTTTTTTGGGCAATCCTCTGTGGTGGAGTGGCTGGTTGGCCGGAGGCCCCCCACCGCGTTCTTGGGCGTCTGGGTGTGGAGGCTATGGAACTTGGGGAGGAGGGCGGTTGGTTACAGAGGGGCAGCAGTGGCAGTCTGTGCTCCAGCTGCCTTTGCTGCAACTCAACCATACACTGGAGCATACTGGTTTGGTCCTGCAGCAGCCTCAGCATTGAATCCTGCCTCCTCTCATCACGCTGCCGCCACATTTGAGCTTCAGCCCTGTCTTCAGCCTGCCACTTACTCTCTTCAGCCCGCCACTTACTCTCTTCAGCCCGCCACCTCTCCTCCCGGTCATTTTGTGCTTTCCTGCACTCTGACATTATTTGCCTCCACGCATTCGTCTGTGCTCTGTCAGTGTGGGAGGACAGCATGAGCTCGGAGAACATTTCATCGCGAGTGCGTTTTTTCTTTCTTTCTAAGCTTCACTAGCCTCTGGGAAGATCCATGTGATCATTGAAAACATGCAGCTGGTGGAGAAAAAAAAAAAAGGGACAGCGGTATTTAAAAAGACACATTTTATAAAACAGTGGCTACACTCTTTCAGGGTAAACCTTGCTGTTAACATTACATACATAGCACATGTGCTTTCGTTACAAGGTCGCATTTTGCCTCCTACCACCGCGTGACTACCCCCTCAACCTTCCCCCCTCCCTGTGGCCAACAGCGGGGAACATTTCTGTTTAGCCACAGGCAAACAGCCCAGCAGGAACGGGCTCCTCTGAGTGTCCCCTGAAGAAAAGCACTCTATTTCAACCAGGTGACCATGAATTATATCTCACTCTCCTGAGGATAACACAGAGAGATAAAGAACGGATGTTGTTTGAATGCCAGCAAACATACACTGCAATGCTTTGTTCTACAGTGATTCCCGAGTACGTGTTACTGGCCTGGAGTGGTAAAGTGTCCTACCATGAAGGACGCAATAAGGCTGCCCTCCCCAGAAACCTTTTGCAAAGGCTTTAGGACTACATCTAGGAGAACCGCAAATGCCAGGGCAAAGTAATCCTTTCACATGCTTGCTTTTAAACCATGTATAGTATTTTAAAAGGTACACTCACCAGAGGTCCCTTCTCCGCCTGCTGGGTCCAAGAGGCAGCCTTGGGTGGGTTCGGGGGGGTACTGGCTCCAGGTCTAGGGTGAAAAACAGTTCCTGGCTTTCGGGAAAACCGGTTTCTCCGCTTGCTTGCTGTGAGCTATCTACAACCTCCTCCTCATCATCATCTTCTTCGTCCCCAAAACCTGCTTCCGCATTGCCTCCATCTCCATTGAAGGAGTCAAACAACACGGCTGGGGTAGTGGTGGCTGAACCCCCTAAAATGGCATGCAGCTCATCATAGAAGCGGCATGTTTGGGGCTCTGACCCAGAGCGGCTGTTCGCCTCTCTGGTTTTCTGGTAGGCTTGCCTCAGCTCCTTCAGTTTCACGCGGCACTGCTTCGGGTCCCTGTTATGGCCTCTGTCCTTCATGCCCTGGGAGATTTTCACAAAGGTTTTGGCATTTCGAAAACTGGAACGGAGTTCTGATAGCACGGATTCCTCTCCCCAAACAGCGATCAGATCCCGTACCTCCCGTTCGGTCCATGCTGGAGCTCTTTTGCGATTCTGGGACTCCATCATGGTCACCTGTGCTGATGAGCTCTGCATGGTCACCTGCAGCTTGCCACGCTGGCCAAACAGGAAATGAGATTCAAAAGTTCGCGGTTCTTTTCCTGTCTACCTGGCCAGTGCATCTGAGTTGAGAGTGCTGTCCAGAGCGGTCATAATGGAGCACTCTGGGATAGCTCCCGGAGGCCAATACCATCGAATTGTGTCCACAGTACCCCAAATTCGAGCCGGCAACGTCGATTTAAGCGCTAATCCACTTGTCAGGGGTGGAGTAAGGAAATCGATTTTAAGAGCCCTTTAAGTCGAAATAAAGGGCTTCATTGTGTGGACGGGTGCAGGTTTAAATCGATTTAACGCTGCTAAATTCGACCTAAAGTCCTAGTGTAGACCAGGGCTAACTTTACAGGAGTTGTAAGGCTGCATTCCTGATCTGTTCCTGGCAAAAGCATCACACAGACAGACCAAACCCTTTGTTGTCCCCCCCCCCCCCACTCCAGATTTGAAAGACTCTTGTCCCCTCATTGGCCATTTTGGGTCAGGTGCCAGCGGGGTTACTTTAGCTTCTCAACCCTTTACAGGTGAAAGGATTTTGCCTCTGGCCAGGAGGGATTTTATAGCACTGTACACAGAAAGGTGGTTACCCTTTCCTTTATATTTATGACAGATGTATTTTAAAAATCTTTAAAGTTGGAGTTGAAAACCTGAAGTATGGTAGAGTGGGCAACTTTTCCCCTCCCTTTTTGTTCTTTAATAGTGTTAGCTAGAATCCTGTGAGTGAGAGTGAATGGATTGTAAAAGGAGGTGAAGAGCTTGTACATTTCAGCAACTGCAGAGGTTGACAGAATAATGGTATGTTTGTTTATGGGATGCATGAGTTTTGCTCAATTCAGCATTTTGAAAGGTGATGACGTACTACCAAGCAACCTTAACTCTGCATTAACATAGGAATTGTTTGCCATTAAATTTCCTAGTTTTTTGAATGGGAAAAGTTACGTTGTTGGTAGAAGTTAGTAGCCATTTAGGCTGTTGTAGATCTGTCCCACAATTTGCATACTGAGACATTCAAAACTCCCCCCAATCAGCTGGGCTTCACCAGCCATGAACCTGACTCCTTCTCTGGTGGCAGGCCCCCCCATCACTGCAGCTGAGAACAGATGTCCCTGAAGCCTTCACTACTTGCTATACAAACTCTTCTGTTGCTGTTACTTCCCCCCCCGTCAAACAATCCACCTTGAGTGAAGGACAATTATGTTACAGTGGAATGGTGTTTCTCATCATGTTTTGGAATGCTTGGAGAGTGGAGTTTGTGGCAGGGTCAGTGAGAGAAATCAGACAGTGTCTGTTCTAATACTACCAGTTTTTATGTTTGGGCTAGAGAGGGAATGATTCTGTTCTGGTGGTTATGGCAGCCATGTGGGAAATCTCAGATCCAGTCCTGCCTTTCTCATCACTTTTTCATTATTTATCCACAATAGAACAGCTTCAGCAGAAGGTGAGGACATCTCTCATCAGAATATTGGATAGATCAGTGGTTGAAACACTCAGAGGTGGAAGACCCCTGTTCAAATCCTTTCTCCCCCTCAGGCACAGTGGGGGGAATTGAATTTGAATCTCTCACATTCCAGGCAAATGCTCTAACCACTCAGCTAAAAGTTGTAAGGCGGGAACTATCATTGCTGGCACCACATATTTTGTGTGGCTGAAGCACCTAACTCATCCCCTCAAGGAATAGCATAGGCACCTAAGCCACCTGCCTCCAGGTGTTGAGTGATACCTTTCATGAATTGCTAAACAGAGATAGGCACAGCCTGGATTTAGGCACCTATTTCAGAGAGAGGCAGAGTTTAGCACACATCCGTGTCATCAACATCTCCCATTGGCTATCTTAGGTGGCTCCCGATCTATTATGCTGGCTTCTGTGAATCACACTCTTAGCTGCTTAATCTCTCTCCCCATTCATTGTATAAGGAACCTAAGCACCTAACTCAGGCTGTGTGGATCAATGTTGTCCCTGTGATTGTCTAGGTACCTAAAAATTAGGCACTGTGACACTCAGCATTGAAATGTTTAAGTCCGTTTGTAGATCTCACCTTTTGTTCATCAAAAGGAGAGTGTTTAGAAGCAGTTAATGGCTGTATTACAGAAGCTATGTTCAGTCTGCTATGGTGTAGTAAGAACCGGACACAATGGAAATTTTGTTCCTACATTTAAATATTGTGAAAATGACATAGTATAGTAACCTGCCATTTATTTGAAATGTTTAAGTATTTTTTCTTGTATATACCCAGACTTGACTACAAGTGCCAATACTGATAGCAGTTAAAGCAAGAGAGAAACTAAGAGCATAGAGAAACTAATTTCATTTTGAAGTGGTTAAATGTACAAAAAGCATACCCGATCAGTGTATGAGACTAGTCTTATACATCCAGTAAAGTTAACAGGATTAAGGTTACAATATTTCTGTCTAGATTACATTAAAGCCAGGTCAAATAGTTGTACAAGCTTGTTCACACTAATAAATACTCATTATGCTCTTGTGAGTAAATGTGTAATTATTTTACTGCTAAAATTAGTATAAACTAGTTTTATTGCACTAGCATCTAACATTTTCAGATCCTTTGTTTTATCTCATGAATACGGAGCTAATTGTTAAATATATTAGAGTCCCTAACTAATAAGGAATATAGTTTTGTAGTACTATTTAAATTCAGTACCTGAATTGAGACCATAAAAAAAACCCTCACTCCATGTATATCTAACATGACCACCAATTCTGAAAAGTGCAGTTTATAAATAGCAAAAACAGATGCCAAGAAGCAATTTTTAGAAACATTCTAGCAAGACGCACACACTGAGCAGTTTTGAAAATTTTATTGTAAAGTTTTACAAAACCCTTTAATATCTGACTCTTTATCCTGGTTCAGGAAAGAGCTTTCTCACTGCCTCAAACTTTCATTTGTAAAAAGCTTGGGGCGCAGTCTTGTAAATCTTTATTCACATGAGTAATTCAATTTCAACAAAAGGGCTTACTCTCCAGAAGTAATTTTTCAGGATAAACTACCCTTGGGTGCTTACAACAGCTCAAGTTGCATACTGCTTTAAAGACCACTTGTTTTTGCAGAGAAACAGGTTTATAGAGAGTGGGTAGACACTTCGCTGCTGACCCTTTTCAGGTCATGGATTATTCAGTGAGACCAGCAGTCTTTTGCTCAACACCATTCAAGCTCACTACTAAGAAGGTACATTTTGAGCTGCATTGCACCTGGCTGTTTAACACTGATGCTGGTGTTGGTTTTATAGCAATGCGAGACATTTAAATATCCCCAATCTGGAATCAGGAGGGCTCATCAGCCAGATCACGTTGATCAAAATACCTATCAGAGAAACGTAATTTGAATATATGGAGAACAAAGTTAGTCTGAGAAAGTGTTAAGACATTGTCTCCCCCCCATTAAGTAATTGACAGTGTATTTGCTGTATATTTTACCACTAGTTTTTATTCCCAGAATGTTTTTGGCTTCATATAAGTAATTTTAGATTTGTTCAAAAGGTTCATCGTTTATCACCTGCTTCAGATGAGTTTTTATTTTATTTTACTTACCTCTCCTTGAGGAAATCAGTATATGCTTCGTTTTCTCCTGGTTTTAAAAGTAAGTCATTTTAACTGAGCAAATGTGTACCACAGTATATAAGGTCTTTACAAAAACATTGTCATAGCCAAAATTCCTTAAAAGCTGATCCTAAAGCCAAGATTTCTGTGCTTGCTGTGTACATAAATTACTCCAAATTCTACTTAATAAAAATGAAGCTTGCAATACCTGCTAACTAAACAGATTAACAAATTCAGAGCAGACACTTTCTCTTCATTCTTGTTCTCCTGCAACAAAGGAATATGAAGTCTTAGGTCATATGTCTAATATTACTTGGCTGCAGAAAAGAACTGCCATTCTTAAGCAATTTGTTGGGTTCCCATAAAAATCCAGTAGTTCATTCTCCATACTTTGCTTTTTCATTCACTTGAGTCTACTATATACATATACATACACACACACTATTAAATCGAATAACTTGGATAAATGCAAACTAAGAATTTTATTTCTCAACAATACTGTCAAGTCATCCCCCACACTACGCTGAATTGTAAGAATTTTTCCATATTAAATTGTTACTTACCTCTAATACTCTGACTTCAGAGCATCGTCTTGCCAATTGCCGAATCAGGGAGTGAGCTTCAGGCAACAAAGGCTTTTCAAGACATGCCAACAAAGCATAAAGCCATCTGCCCTAAGTGGATTTAAATAGAAGTAGTACAGCTTGGTATTTTCCAAATCAATTTTTACCGTAATTAATTGGTAACACACCAACTGTACTGAATGCTAGTAGAGACCAATATCTAGTTCAAGAAAATACATGCATTAATAAATATTGTCATGATAGAGGGGAGATAGGGAAAAAGGTTTCAAAGTTTGTTTTAACACCAAGTGTGTGGTCCCTAGGGCATACCTACAGGCAAGGGAGACAAGTTATCATTGCTATGAAAATAAATTTGAGTTTCTTGATATTTGAAATATACAACTCTTCACTGAGTTAGTTTATAGGTAGATAGAATAAATTAAAATTACCAGTTCTGGAGTAAACTCTTTCTCTCCAAACCAGTTTATCAGATATTCCAGGACGCTAGTTACTGTTGCCTTTTAAAAGAGGAAAAGAAAAAAACACCTGAAAAGAAGAATGACTACGTATAACGGTCATTGCACCAATTTTTGATTATAGTTTATAAAGAACTATATCAAAAGCAAACAGAAGCGTGACTTCACTTTTCATAGTGAAATGACACTTGTTTATATATCCACTCTATGGTGCATCTAGACAGGCATTTATTTCAGTCTGAAACTTGATATAAAGGAGAGAGGAAATTTCAGGACAGATGCTGCTGAAATTGAAAAGGACTTGAATATATAGTAAGAAGAGAAATGATGCCCAAAGTGGACCACAATACTTGAAAGTCTTTCTGTACCTCTGATTTTAGTTTTATGGCAGACACAGAAAAAATTCAGACTGTTTAGAGATGACTAACAGGACATAATAGTACAAGGGGTAGTATTAGTATGAGGGGCTTCCACGATGTTCAGAATGCCACAAGACATTCCACATGCTGTTCTCCGGGTGGCTTGCAACATCCGGGATAAAATTCCATCAACTGAGGTGTGGAGGCAGCCTACAGGCAGACACCCTATTACATGGGTTCATGAAGTCTGTTCCAACGTTGGACTTTCTGCTAGGGTGATCAGACAGCAAATGTGAAAAATTGGGATGGGGGTGGGAGGGTTAATAGGAGCCTATATAAGAAAAAGACCAAAAAATCAGTACTGTCCCTATAAAATCGGGACATCTGGTCATCCTACTTTTTGCCCATCAAGGCTTTGCAGCCACACAGGAATGGACCGAATGGTGAACAGTCACTACAGCCGACCGTTTGGTTAAGCGCTGAAGTAGCAGTAGCAGTGGTGCAGTAAGCAATGTGAATAAACATCACATCTGTCCTGTGTTTGTTCTCTCCTCCACTCCTCAGGAGGAGAAGCATGTGCAGTGGAGTGTATTGTTCTGGTAGGGTTTTTATTATTATTATTTAAGCCACAAGCATGCGAATGTGTCCTCAGTACCAGCAACAATAATCAAAAGTAATTCACATGAACAAAAAAATATTTCTATTTAAACACTAAGTATCAATGAGAAAAGGGTAGAGGTTTGATGTGTTAGTTTTACCAAGTAAGTCTCTAGTGGCAGATTGCGATAATGCCTCAAACAAGTTTTATGGTATAAATTATTGTTTCCTTTAATACAATGACACAATAGATGGGATATCCATGGAATTAATAGGAAAACTATAGAAAAAGTAAATATTTTTGGTGAGAAATATTTTATTCTCATAAGTAGAAACATAGACTTACCTGATTCATTCTGCTAACAATACTTAAAAAAGGGGGAAAACCAATCTGAAAAGAAAAATCATGGTGGAACTGTAATATATGAAGTAAACTTCCCAAGAAATGCCCTTGTATTTTAAGATTTAAATTAGAACAGAGTTTGAATGTGAGGACATAAATCCACTTCATATTTTTCATTGTAATGGGTTTTCAAAGCATACAAAGTTCTAATTTTGAAAATGCCAGTTACAATTAATAATGCGAAGAGCAATAAATACTCCTGGGGGAATTCTGTACCAAAATATTAACAATTCTGTGCACATTATAAAATTCTGCATATTTTGTGAAAACAACACTATATAATCACGCCAATTTCCATTATTTTGGTAATTATTTCAAAATATCTGTCAGTAATTATGTCTGTAACAATACAGACAAAAAATTCTCCCAAGCGCAGAGAGTTAAAGAAACCTCTATGACAACCCAGTTCCTGTTTCTCCTCCCCCTATTCCCCAGAGCCCAGCTGGGGGGCCAGATACCCATAACCTCTTCCCCTCCCAGAGCCCAGCTGCGGGGCACCCCCCAGCCCAGTCACTTGCATGCACCCCCTACCCTCCCAGACCCCAGGGATCCAGAGGGAGAAACAGCATGATGCTGGATCCTGGGCTTGTTTGGAGTTTCCTGCACGCCAAGTCCTTCCTTCAGGACGTGCTGGGAAATGTAGCTGCCAGAAACCCTCCAGCTCCTCCTCCCCCTCCCTTCAGCAGTGTCTTCTATTTGTGAGCTGGGCTCTGCCAGGTCCAGTGCCACGTAGTGGCGGCAGGCAGCTCTGTAGCCCATTTCTGTTTGGGGGGGGGAGAATTCTGAGCAGAACATTAATTTCTGCACCAATTTTGCATTGTTCAGTGGCACAGAATTCCCCCAGGAGTAAACAAAGCAAACATAAGCTGTAAAAAATAGCTATTCATCTAAATGTTACCAAATACTGGGAGAGGCAACAGATTTTAAAAGGATACAACTTGAATTTCTTTGGACTTCAATTTTTTTAAAAAGTTATTGTTTGGGTCATAGGCTCTTTAAATAGGTCCTGAATTTTTATAAGTGTTTTCTGGCTCTCTGATGTTTACTAAGGGCCTTTCCGGCACATCTAAGAGGAACAACGAACATGCCTGAGTCCACGTCTCCACCTACCTCTCTGTATACACACATGCTCACCCAAACTCCTTCCTCTCTGTACACATCCATGCCTGATGCCTTTGTGGCTTCAGCTTTGCTGCTACCACTACTAGTAAGCCCACTCTTAAAAGGCTTAGGGAATAGCATATATGAGAGTTCCCTGGAGAGTGGTCTGCACAGGAGACAAACTGCAACTGACCATCAACAAAAAATGGAGACTATGCAGAAAATGCTGTTAAACATACAGAATAAAACATTGTCTCTAACATGTTTCAGTTAATAGTAATCCTAAGACTAGCTTATAGTAGTAGATATATTTCCATCTGAAAATTAAGTAAGATCAGATTCTCTGCTTCACCAAGATTCCACTTAACATACCAGGCAGGTGTGCAGCATGTTCATCAGAGCCTGTTTTGCATTCAGATTGGATCTGCACTGAGCCCAACACATCAGGACAATTTCTGGAAGCTGCTAACAAGACATAACTGCCAAGAACCAAGAAGGAGCTTGAGTACTCTTATTAAAAGTGATACCTACCTTTATGTAATCAATTCCTAGGTTTTCATTACCAGACACTGCAATAGCTGTTTCCGAATATAACTTTTCACCCAGACAAAACAGTTTCCAGCCTTCTTCATCCTCAGATTTTGGCTGAAAAAGGTAAATAAGAGTGGGCTACTTTTCATATGATGTTATGATTTGTATTTTCATTACATAAATTATATATTTTCAAATAATATATAACTCTGGTAATCCTGATTTGCAGTTAAACACAATTACTAATGCACCACCATTATCAGCATAACAGAATTTAACAGTAAAATAAAGAGGTTCACAAAATTTGTTATAAAATTCACTCACCATTGTAACATTGCTGTCCAAATGTTGTGCCTTCCAATGATTTCTGTGTTTGTTCAAACTCTGTAGGATTAAAATAATTAAGCTTGATTATGGTTCATAATGTAATGATTTTATTCTAGCCAAAATAGCTTTTCATCTCCAAATTGCTTTAATTGGGCCTTCATAACCATAAAAAAAACAATTCAATACCATTATAATGGTTATTTCTTTTAGAAAAAGTAGATTGCATGTTGCTGTAAAAATATGGTAAATAACTGATCAAATTATTCATGTATTTCTTTTAATAGAACAACGTGTTGCAAGTTGTAAGACAGAATTTACTATTTTATAACCTGTAAAGAGAGATGAAATATGAAGAAAATGTGTTGCTTGGTTAGTCTACTCCTTAAAATGTTACTTTAAATGCTTCTTCATTTATATAGCTTTGACAATCTCTAGAACCATAATTTTAGCACTATTAATCCTTTAAAATGTTTACTTAAGGTAAGCAATCTTAAGAAAAACAGTTTTCAATTCTTGAAACACTGCCCTTGCTTCTGTTTTGAGATGTATGTTTAAATGGGGAGCTTTCACCTTCATAAGCCAGCTTTCTCCTTCTTCTGGATCTGGCAGAGTTAGCATGTGTTTGATAATCTTGCCCTAGAAATAAGCCTCAACAAGTACTGCAGTATCCTAAATGAGAGGAAAACTGGCTGAAAGGAACCAAAACCTTGTTTCAACACAAACGCTAAAAGAGATTAGATGTATTCAGATTCTCAGTCCAGTATGGGTCAAGGACCTTCATACCATAAAAATACCTTTTTGAAAGGAGATATGTAGAGTTTGTCCAAAACCAAAATGGCCTGCTTTGACAGTATTCTGGAGATTGAAGTTTAAACCTTTGGAATTCAAGGTATGTTTTCCAACCAGTGACGGTTATTGCAGCAAAGTTTTTGTTGTTGTTTTTTAAGCAGGCACCATGTGACCAGAAATCTGTGCTAAAAATCAGAAGAGCTGACAGATTTTATACAAACATAATGTTAGCACAGAGGGCTAGCCTTCTGATTCTTCTTCACTGCTACTCTTGCATGTTTTCATGGATACTAACACCAATGCTTTTCCTTCCCCTCCATGCTAATTCTGTCAGAGGTAAAAGAGGTCGGCATTTAACATGTTGCAATAGGAATGCTATATGTTTTAAGTCACTTAAGATCTTAGAGTATTAAAACTTCGTGGTAAAAGTCCAGTTTACTATTTGTTTACCTTTTGCAATTTACTCAGCTTGGATTGGGGGTGGGAAGGGGGAGAGGCTATTCAGTTTCCCTTTCTAGTTCTCATACAATGGGGCAACTTGCAAGCACTGTATGGAAAATTTAAGATACGGCCATCAGATCTGTGCAGATGGGCCTTTCTACCTAGATGGAATCCTACTGAACTCAATGGGTTCCTGTATGGGTGCAAGGTACTGTCCATGAGCCCCATTACTGGACTGGGACCCAAATGTTTTTATTTCGATCTTAGTAGTTCATTAAAACATTCCTATTAATACTACATTTTGTAATATTTTTTGTTAGCTACAAAAAACCCCTAAGCTTTGTCCTCAACTACTTGACAGAGACTCTTTTAATACACAGATATCATCATTTACAAGACTGTTCTCAGCCAGCTAAATGTATGATTGCCTGTTTTCTCCAAGAACCTCTTTGGTGCTAGAGTGTCATGATAAATTAGGTTTACCAAAAAACCCAAACAAAAAAAAACAAAACAAGTTTTCCAAAGACAGAGCAGTCATCTACTTTATTTACTATTTTCTACCATAAAATGTTACGTCCTATATCTTTCCCCAGAATACAGTAAAGTTCACCCTTCCACCCCAAAAAACACCACCACACTAGATGCCATCATATCCACACTGCACTAGTTTGTGAACACTCTGTTCTTTACCTGACGAACTGCTGAAAAGTGAGACACTTGCTGCTGCTGCCATTTGAGAGTTGGAGAATATCCCTCAGGGGCAGGATGGCATCCTGTGAGCTAAGAAAGCATAGGTAGGATTTTTTTTATAACAAGTAATCAACAAACAGAACCCTAAACTAATTAAGTCTAAAACTAAGAATTTCCACTTAAAGTACATGTGAAACTAGGAAGACAAGACAAGAGATAATTCTACTTTGAGAAAGAAAATAAAACCAGCCCCAATTCTCACATTTTACAAAAGAAATGTCATGTTTTGACTGGTGATATGCTGAAGATATCCAAATGACAGATGTACCCCACTCTCTTACTATTAATGGGGAAGTATTGTTTTCTCATAATGATAGGGGAAATTCTCTAAAATAGAACAAATGGTCATTATTTTTCTTTTTCTGAGTGTAGATTTAAATAGTTTATTTTGCACAAAGTACAAATGCAAGTTTTACAGAAATCTCAATCAGATATATTGACTGTCTTACTTCATATCACAAGCAAGTGGATAGCCTGATTTGCACAGAATAAAAGACTGATCTATAAAAATACATTGTTTTAGGGCCCTAAACAGATCTACCACTTCAATTAAGATGGGGCAACTGCCAGCCATATAAGACATCAGTGCAGAATCAGAAGAATTACCGTTCCAGATCTCCACATTAAACCCATGAATTGGTAATAAAAATCTAGGAGGTAGAGATAAAAATTTTTAAATGCTTGTAGTTAAGTGCCTTTTAGAGGAAGGGATAATGAAAAACCTCTAATGACTTCTTGCAGGTGGGATGCTGAAAATTTAGCAAGAATATAGGATATATCTCTAGATTAAAAGTGAACCCCAAAACTCACACTAATCCACTACTTTTACAGTTCAGTATTGAGCCAAGTCCCTATTTTATTGCATTGAACAAGCTCTGAATGATTAACTGGAAGAGACACACAAGCAGGAAATTCCACTATTATTTCTACAAGATACAATGAGTTAAAGAAAAGTTAATCTGAACTGTAATGTATATTAAAAAAATTTAATTAAAATAGTTTCAAGTACCACATTTTGCCTGACCACATCCCAATTTGATTTTACAAACACTTAGGCTTGGTCTGCACTACAAAGTTAGGTCCATGCAAAACAGCTTATGTTGACCAAGTTTGTGCATATGTCTATGCTTAAATTGGTCTCCCTCTGATGTAAGTGCCTCATTATGCTGACACACTAATACCATCTCTCCAAGCGGCGCAGAGCCACAGTCCATGTACTTAGGTCAACACAGGGCAAGTGTAGACACTGCATTACTATAGCAATCCTAACTGTCGTCCAGCAGCTGTCCTATAATGCCCCACACTGATCACTCTGGTCACCATTGTGAACTTCACTTCCCAGGGGCCCTGAAAATTTTTGAAATTCCATTTCCTGATTGATTGCCTGATACAGTGTTCACACCTAGCAGCTTTCCATTGTTGAGTGCAATTGCCCAGCGGACCACGCTGGCTATATACTCCAGATGCACTCCTGCCTGGAGCAGACAGGAGATATTGGATCTCCTGGGCCTGTGCGGAGAAGAGGATGTGCAGGCCCAGTTTCAAACCAGCTGTAAAAATGTCGATATCTACCAGCACATTGCTCAGGGGATGCAAGAGAAGGGACCAGCAGCAGTGCCGCACAAAAGCCAGGAAGCTGTGGCAGGCATACCAGAATGCTAGGAAGACCAACAATCGATCTGATGCCAAGCCGCAGACCTGTCCCCTTTACAAAGAGATGCAGGCCATACCTGGCAGAGATACCCCTCCCGACGCCAGCACAGTGGATACCTCTGAGAAGCCAAAGACATAAACCCCTGGTGTGAACAGTGAGGAGGAAGAAGAGTTGGTGGTGGAGGATGAGGAAGAGGAGTATGGGACAGGTAACCAGGGGATCCAGCTGCCCAGCAAGCCAGGACCTGTTTCTGACTCCACGGCAGTCCAGCCAATCAAGCACAGGTGAGTCTGATGCAGGGGAAGGAACCCTGGGTAAGTGTTTAGATAAATTTTCAATTACAGGGATGGCACTCCCGAAGTGTCAAAAGATGTGTTCTGCTTTTTCATTAATTTACTCACGATAGAAGAGCTAGTGGCATAACCAAGAGATGTAGAATTGCTATCCGTTTTTCATTCCACTCTAAAGTGGGGGGGGAGGGGGGAGAAGAGAAGGAGAATATGATCATGTGGAGCAGTTTATGTATGTACACAGGGATGTTCCTTGAATCCTCCTGAGAGATCTGTATGAAATTTTCATGGAGGTACTCTGCAATCCTCTGCCAAAAGTTTCTAGGGAGGGCTGCCTCATTCCTCTGCCATAGGACACTATTCCACAACACTCAGCAACAACTTCAGCAGGCACCATTGCAATACACAGGCTAGTATCATAAAGGCCCAGACAGCTTCAGGACACCAGCAGCAACTGTCCTCTCTCTACCTTTGTTACCCTCAGGAGTGAGATATCAACTAAAATCACCCCAGTCGGCCACTCTCACCATGGCTGGTGCTGTGACTGACACTGTCCACAAGCAATCCCAAGCAGAAGTGAGAACGTAGTGCTTAAAACTTTAGGAAAGCAAGGAGAGTGAGTTCAGCATCCAGGTCTGCTTTCTTAGTGAATATGCTGACAATGTTACCCCATGTGTTTTGTCTTAAAACAACTGCCATTACAGCCTTCAGGATCTCCCCCTGCACACCTGCAGAATGCCTGAACTAGATGAGGAGAAAGAGGACTCGGGATGACATGTTCAATGGGATCCTGCAAGCCAGAGCTGCATTGTATCATGAGCACAAGGCATGGAGGATGAATACTATGGACATCCCACAGAAGGAAAGAGTGGAGAGGGGAAAGGCCCAAGAGTTCCAGCAGGAAAAAGGAGAGAGAGATGCATTAGGACATAATACGGATTTTCAGGCAGCAAACACAGATGTTGCAGGCTCTGGTGGACCTGCAGGTTCAACTATCCCGAGGTCACCTCCCTCTACAATCCATTGAGAGCTCAGTATCAGGAACATCCTATATCCCCCACATAACATTCCATGTGTCATCATTCCCCATACCACTCCACCCCAAGGGACATTAAAGACAATCACAGTTTCTCATACACTGACTTGTAAAAAAGCCATGGTTGGTGTATGTGTAGCTGAAATCAATATGAACATTTTTTCCCCTTCATAATAAATTAAGAGATCAGAACTTATGTTTTTATTGTATTTGTTTTAAATTGCACAAGTTGTTTTTTTTAAACTACTTTTGTTACAGAATAAAATTATATTATTTGGAAAATAATTCATCTTTATTAGGTCACAACATATGCTGCCAAGTGCTCAGCAGTTCTGAAAGCAACCAATTACCTGTTACTGCATGATGACACACAAATCATAGGCTCATTCACAAACAAAATTAACAGGTGAAATGACAATGTTATATTCCTACACGTAATTGCCACAAAAGAGCAGAACCTGGACAACACCACACACTACTCTGGCTCGCTGTTAAACTGGTCTTTGAAAGTCTCCCTGAGCTGTATACCTCCTTGTTAAGCTCTTCTAATACCCCTTGCATCTGGCTATTCAATTCAGCAGACATCTGCTCCACTTCCACCCTTGTGGAAACTTTTCTCCCTTTGCTTCACATATATTATGCAGGACACAGCAAGGAGCTATAACCATTGGGATATTTTTCTCACTGAGGTCCAACCTTGTGAGTAAACAACGCCAATGACCCTTCAAATGACCAAACGCACATTCAACTGTCATTTGGCACTTGCTGAGCCAGTAGCTGAATCATTCCTTGCTGCTGTCGATGTGGCCGGTGTACGGCTTCATGAGTTGGGGGAGTAAAAGGAAGATTGGGTCACCCAAGATCACTATTGGCATTTCAACATTCCCACTGGTAATCGACTGGTCGGGAAAGGAAGTCCCTCCTTGTAGCTTCCTGAATAGTCCTGTGCTCTTACAGACGCGAGTGCCATGTACCTTCCCTGACCAGTCCACACTGATGTTGGTGAAGAACCCCTGGTGATCCACCAATGCTTGCATAACCATAGAAAAGTAGCCCTTTCCGCAGATATTCTCAGTGGCAAGGTGGTCTGGAGCCAAAATAGGGATATGCATGCCATCTAGCACTCCACCACAATTGGGAACCCCATTGCTGCAAATCCATCCACTGTGTCCTGCACATTGCCAGGAGTCACAGTCCTGCTTAGCAGAAGGCGATGAATGGCTCTGCATGCTTGCATGAGAACGGCCCCCGCTGTGGATTTCCCAAATCCAAATTGATTCCATACTGACCGGTAGCAATCTGGCGTTGCAAGTTTCCACAGTTCCACTCACTTCTCCCTGTCAGTGCTGTTCTCATTTTGGTGTCCCTGGGCTGAAGGGCTGGGGCGAGCTCAGTGCACAAATCCAGGAATGTGGCTTTGTGGATCTGAAAGTTATGCAGCCAGTTTGTCACCCCAAACTTGCAACATGATGCAACCCACCAGATCAGTGCTGGTTTCTTGGGCCCAGAAGTGGCAATCCACCATCTGGAGCTGCTCTGTGAATGCCACCAACAACCGTGAATCTGTCCTCCAAGGAATCATCATGGTCCCCACTCATTCGGTTCTTCTTGAGGCTCTGCAAATACTCCAGGATTGTGCGCTCTGTGCTTGCAACGTTCATGACTATAGTGCAGAGCTGTGCAAGCTCCATGGTTCTGTCAGAGATAGCAGACAGCGAGGAGAACCATGTGGGTTTGTGGAATTTTGAAAAAGAGGTGCAAAAGTTATGGATACATATAACATTATGGGATGGAAACAGTAGCAAACTGGGAAGTTGACCCCATGCTCCCAGCTACCCCTGCATGACTCATTTCAGTCCCATTATGCACTGCCAAAGCTTCCCAAAAGACAGTGAACATGAGAGTGGCGAGTTGCACAGTGTGATACCTATACATTGTGCACAGCACTCTGCATTGATACAAGCACTCCTGATGAGTATGTTTCTCACCGAACCAAGGAGCCAAGTATGCAGGCGCACAAGCGACATACTAACTTTGGCAGCTGTACGCCAACGTAACTTGAGTAAACATAAGTTTGTAGTGTAGACGTGCCCTTAAACAAAAATATTTATCTCCCCTGTTGTGTGATCAATAGAAACAAAAGGGAAACCTGTCAAAGCAAATAAACTAAGATGACACACTTTCTCCTCTACCATCTCTTAAAGATCGTAGTCTGATCTGCCTCAGTTCTCCATCTACAAAATGGGGATAATATCTCACTGGGGTGTTACGAAGATAAAAATCTATTAATGATTGTGACGTGGTCAAATAATAAGGTGAGTAAGTCTATATAAGCATCTAAATAGATTTTAGTAATATTAGATTTTAAAAATCATTTATGTTAGAATATTAAATAGATGGTGTCCCCTCTAGAAAGTAAAACAAAATACTATCATTCTAAGGGCCTGATCTAACTCCTATCATCAAAGTTAATTGAAGGATTAGTAACTTCATTGGGAGGTAGTCAATTTTATGGCTTATCATAAGAAGAGAATACAATATCTTTCTATATGTACTTGAAAACCCCTCCTTCAAATATTCTCTCCTTTCTTGATAGAGTTGAAGTGAAAGAGGAAAGTGTCCCAGGTTGTTCAACTGGGAATCATGAAGTAAAATTGAGCAAATGAAAATTTTATGCCAATCTCAAGAAATGTTTTCCAACCGTGAAATATCAGAATAGAGTTTCCAGAAGAGAAATTGTAGAAGCTCCATTATTTGAACCATTTCAAAGGGGACAGGGCAAAGCCCTAGGACACATACAGTAGGGAATAATCCTGTTTGGCTGACCAGAATGGATGGACTAGGTGATTTAAAATAAAAAAAAAAAATCTGAGAAACTAGCAACAGTAAAAGAATAAGAACATACTCTGTATTGATATCCTTGTATCTTTCAACTGTAGGAAAGTTTTATGACAAACTTTGTTATAAATCTTTAAATACAAAATTCTTTCAGTTGCTTCTGCAGCGAGAAAATATGATCAATTATTTTTGCTGTAGATACAAGACAATATTTTGTGTGAATGTTATAAGTTAGATTAGTTGAGTTTTAATGAGACTTCAGTTATCCAGTAATTCACAATCTGAATCTGCAAGACTAGATTCCATTTACTTCTGCAGATTACTTAAAATTCAGGTACTCTACGACATGTTTGATGCTTATACCATGCATCCAAAAATTTTAGTATGAAACCAAAAGCTTTTATTCTCATTTAACTGTCTAGTCTGTTTTTCTAAAAAAATATTTTAAAAATATATACACAAATATATACACAATACTTACTGAAATATTCACTGTCTGCTTCTTTCTCAACTTTCTGGGGTCTATCTGTGCCACAACAACATCTGGGCATCGTGCTGCTTCAATCCTTCAAACAGAAATAAAAGGCTATGTTTTAAATCCCTCAGCTGCGTCCCTTAGAACCTGAAACGGTCACAGGTTTGGGTTTGCATGAGGAGGTACCTGATCAAATACAAAATACTTGCACAATTCTTAAGTTATGAATTAGAATCTATTAAAGAAAAAAAAGTTTAAAAAAATATTTCTTACGGAAGGGTATGGGTTGAGAGTTTTAAAAAGATTTATGAGTTTACAATATAAGCTATGAATGACAGATAAGTGCCCCCATGTGAGCCAGTCTGTGGCACAGCCAGGAACAGAATTCAGGACTTGTGATTTCTCGTTCTGTGCTTCAGCCACAAGACATCTTTCCATCATAAATATCAGTAAAGATCATTGCTATTAACAACTGTAGCAAGTAAAATACCATTGTATTCCTTCTGTGAAAAACAGACTACAGTCAAGAGCAAGAACTTTCTCCTATTATTTGATTATGCCATAATCTGCCTGTCAAAAACATGTGATGATGGATCAGAGAGTGCAGTGGAATTTTAGAAAGTGTTAAAGAATATGCTTGCTGTCTGAAATGAGAAACTTATGAATATCAAAACCTGAACAACCTAGAGCGACAGAGTCAGGTAATTTTAGGCTTACATTTTTAGTATTGTTAAAAATAGCCTTGTTATGAATATTGAAATTAATTTAAATTCTCAGTAAGTTATGTAATTAAGTAACATTTGCACCTTGAACACTGTGTTACCTTGTAAGATTTACAAAGTTTAATTAACAATAGTATTATTCAGACATCAAACTTTGTAATTACTTGTATTATGGTAGCACCTAGAGGAACCAAATGAATTCATAGCACTTTTGTGATGGGTGCTTTCCAAACACATAAGAGATAGTTCATGTTCCAGAGAGTTTATAGTTGAAGGCCCCAATCTTGCAACCATGTACAGCATAAACAGGGCAGTTTGTCTCTGCACTTAGAAATTGCTGGACCAGGACCTAAGAGACAAGACAGCTAAAGGGTTTGGTAAATGGGTTAGGTAGAGAGTCAGGGACAGGACCTGGATCTCTTAATTTCCAGTGCAGTGCCTAAACAACACTTATTTCTTAAGAGTATTGTTGGAGACCCCAGGGTATGGCCACTAGTTCAGTTGAGGGGATGGGAGGCCATAAGGGTCGAGGAAGTCTCCCTGCTGAAGGCCTAAGGGCTTCTTCTCAACCCCCCTTAATAGAATTCAGGCCTGGCTGGTTTGAGTAAGCTCTTTTGCTCTTAAAACAATGTTGCAGCCGCATATAATGCCTCAGAGTGTAAGGTTTGCTGATGCCAAGTTAAAATAGTAGGAGATAGTTACAAGGCCAGACAGAATGTGCTGGTTGTTTAAGTTGCTATGAATGCTTGTTAGAGGTTGCAGGAAATAAACATTGTTGTAACCCATATAAGGAAGGCAGAGTATTTGTGTAAAGTTTTGATTGGCTAATGTGTAGTGCAGTAGCATTAAGGAATATAAAAGTGTGTGTAATGACCTGCTCTGATGTGCAGGATTTGAGATTCTATTCTCCCTGTACCTTGTTTGCAGCTGCAAATAAACTTTTCTGCTTCTCTACCCCGTTGTGATTATTGAGTGAAACACACCGGGTAATGAACCTCTGCTGTTGTTTTGCCTCTTGGCACTGGGTGCCCGGCAACAGCATGCTTAGGGAGGTTGTGAAATCTCCACCATTAGAGATGTTTAAGAGCAGGTTAGACAAACACCCGTCAGGAATGGTCTAGAGATAATATAGTCCTGCCACGAGCGCAGGGAACTGGACTTCATTAGATGACCTCTGGAGGTCCCTTCCAGTCCTATGATTCTACACTGCACTGTAAACCTAGGCTCAGACTCGGGGTGAACTTAGTGAACTCACAGGACCCAGGTTCTCGGACCCAGTGGTCCGAGCGTGAGTCCTGCTGTGATTCAGGTCCAAGCCCTGTCATTTTACAGCGTGGACACTGCTCAACCCTGGATCTCCAGAGGTCTGACCTGAGGCTGCACCCAGGCCCAGCAAATACAAGCCCAGGTTCAGACCGCAGCGCGGAGTCGCGGACCCACAAGCGGAAGCTTGGAAACAGGGGCCGGCAGACGGGGAGACCCGGGTTGACAATGCAATGTAGGGGGTGGGGCGGCCCCCACGCAGGCTGAGCACTGGGTCCAAGGGGGGCTGGAACCAGCCCCGCAGCTCGCGGGGCGCGCGAGAGCGACACGGGTCAGGGCACAACTCCCTGCGCCCCCGGCCCCTTCACAGACAGGAGGGGGGGGAGGCGCCCAACGCCCCCCCCCCCCAACGGGCTCCCAGGCCAGGCGTGCTCTGGAGAGGCGACCCGGCAGCCGCCACCCCTCACCAAGGGGAAGCGAGGCCCGGCCCAGCCCCCGCTCGGCTCCCCCACGGGGCCAGAAGGCAGCGGCGCAGCCCCCCCAGCCAACCCCTCCCCCACTTACTGGACTCGCTTTAAATACTCCGAGGGCGTCCGCGGGGGCATGGTGGGGTCGAAATCCTCCGCGAGGTCACAGTCCCCTACAGGCAGGAGCCGGGGCATCAGCTCCTCCACCGCGGACTCCATCACCGCGCCACGGCCGCTGCCACCGGGGGGGGGGAGGGAGAGAATCGTAGGGCGCAGGCGCATTGAGCGACGCCGCTTACTCCAGGGACCGCCTCGGCTGCGGGTCGAGGACACAACGCGTGCGCACTGCGTGACCTTCCGCACTGGGGAGACCGCCCCTTCCGACGCCTGCCAGAGATCGGTGCAAGCGGCGCAGCGCGCTGCCTTTCCCAGGGCTCAGTGGAGGTTGGGACGCCCTCTAGTGGTGCGGCCAAGCTCCCGCTCTCATCTCCTTCGACCGCGTCCCGATGCTTCTGGGACCACCGGTCTGGGAGCTTCTACCCCACTGGTCTGGATTGAAGCCTTCCTGGACCCATTGCCTTTTGAGCCTGCAAACACCATCCCATTGCACCGTGTGGTTCTTGTTCCAGGCAGTATAAGACACACTGTCTCCTATTGTAATAATAATTGTGCACAGGACCATCTGCTGCCAATACAGACAGTGTATAATTTAGTACCGTAAACAAAACACTACAGGGTGTATTCCCTTTTAAATAACACTATGCCTTATTTTCCATACAGTTCCATACCCTCGTGTGACGAAAGGAGGGCATTGTTATGCAATAGGTGCCCAACAAACCACTGCCATGTTGGAATGTGACCTGCCAAAATAACATTGCAATGTGACCATTGTTATGCACAAACTCAGAAACACTGAAACCTTAGCACAAGCTTGGTATGTAGCTCTCAGCTAGGAAACAGAATGGGAGTAATATTGTGCACAGACAGACAGGTCTACAGAGAACTGCCATGTACTAAGTTTATAATTCAGGGGCACACTTGCCCACTTCTTTACTGACCACAGGTCATCTCTTGACATAATTTCTGGACCCAGAAACACACTAAGCCAACTTTGCCACTGCACTTCAACCTGGAACCAGGTGTACCACAGCTTTCCCTTCATTTTAACAGCCCTGAATCAGACACCTTTTCACACTTTAGTACACTTGTGTACAGATCTACAGAATGGGTTTGCTGTCACTATGGCCACAAATTAATGGCAGAATGAAATGTAACAGTTGGCCAAGAGATTTATGTCTCATCATTGCCTTTTGGGGGCTGTTGTATCACAGTGGAATGATGGATTGGGATTGAAGATAGAGAGGAGGAAGTTTCTACACGATCCCTATGAGAAAACCTCTTGAAGGGCTAACCTTTGGCTTAACACACAGAAATACCAAGCAATCCTGTATATACCAAGCACACTTGTGCCCAAATAGTTCTCTGATGTTAATCCACAAATTATAAAGCAATTAAATCTCCAAAATGCCATTGAATCTATTTAGCTCTTTAATAACCATTTTAAAGGACCAAAGCCAGCGTTCTAACCTAAATTTCAGCATTAGCAAGTGTTTCTTTCAGCGCCAGTGCTTAAGATTCAATCTTTCTCCATTTAAGTCAATGGAAGTTTTGCCATTAGTAAATTATTTCTTAATTTCAAAATTTGTCTCATCTGGCAGCTCCCCTTGCTTTCTGTAAAAACAGAAGAAAAGATCAGTGTAATTAGGATGTTGACGGAACTGGACTTTTATATACAGGGATCCATTGCTTGTCTTTTGCCCCATGTCTCAGAGAAATAAACTAACCTTCTTTGGTAAATCTTAAGACCAGCTCTTTTATTTCAGGCTGACGCCTCCATCAAGTGAGTACACATTTCAGCCAAAAGATGACACATACACACACACACAAGTCATCTTAAATGAAGGCAAAGGGACATTTAAAACACAAACAACAATGTACATTATAGAGAACATAAAACTTTCTCAATTCTCTGTGTCAAATGAGAATAATGATACTTCCCTTCTCTGTAAAACAATTTGAGATCTATGGATAAAAAGCACTATAAGATCTAGATATTAATAATAATAATATAATTAATAATAAAATACAGTGTCTGCTCTAGGCAATGATACAAATATTTTATGTACTTATTCCTGAAGGGTCAGTGAAAGGATTTTTAAATTTTACTGCACACACTGCATTTATTGTATTTTTAAAAAAAAAACTATTTGAAAGGCACTTTTGGTTGTTTCTTCTGTATTTGAGCAGTTCTGAACAAGCAATGACTTTCAACTTCCCTCTCCATTCATTTTTATTTGCTTTTAAGGTGTGTCTCATAACCATTTACGTGTAACAGGCAGCTTTACTCTGAAACCAGGATGTAACTTCCTATTAGTGCAAGTGACAAGTGTGAACATCACTTGAAATAAGACCTGCTTAATCAAAACTACGTTGGCATTTCAGGAGAGTTTGACACAGTGCTAAAGGTAAAACCTTAACTTTGTCAATATATAAATGGATTTCTTGAAAATATTCAGATTTTAGGATCTATGATTTTATCTGGTGTGAAGACAAGAATTATAAAAAGAGAGAATCAGGGATTTTGATGCAGCAAGTTTAAATGTACATTAGTTTTTAATTATCTAGATGATTTTTTTCCTGAACATTTCTAATGCTGCTTTTTGAAGCTGAATAACATACTTTGAACTAATTACTTACTTTTAAATTGACTGTTACAGGAAAAACTGATGGTTTTCCTAGGACTATCAAGAACCAAGACTTAACAATGGAATTCCTGCAATATCTGGCAGAGCTAAATATGATTCAGAGGATGAAGAAGAGAAAACAGTCAGAGCTGAATATTCTTTCTCCTTATCAACTGCCTAGGAGTTACAAAGGAGTAATTTCTTGAAGAAGAGGTGAGTTGCCACCTGTTGATCTGAACTGATGATTCAAAATCTAACACACTAATCTGTAACATATTGCAATAAGGTAAGAAAAATAAAGTAGAATTACCATATATTGTAACACCAGGGGATAACAGAAAAGAGATTTTCTGATTACAGTGATTGCTTGTTTTTTGACCTGTTTATCCATTCCATATATGTATCTATGTGTCCATCCAGGTACTTTTGCTTCCCATTGAGGTCCCCGCCACCACAAAATCTGTGCACCTTCCTGAAGGGCTCTTTGGGGCACAAGAAATGTGGGACTGGGCCTTTATAAAATTAAATATTTATTCTTACAATGATTGGTAACAAAAATATTTTATACCTCTTATCCTCACTGGGCTTTCACTATATTGTACACTTCTTTCTTTCTTTCTTTCTTTCTTTCTTTCTTTCTTTCTTTCTTTCTTTCTTTCTTTCTTTCTTTCTTTCTTTCTTCACAGTTAGCTCTCTGCTGCTGTCTACAGGGGTACTCCAGGGCTCTGTCCTTGACCCTCATTTCTTTTCCCTTTACATCCTTTCTTTGGGCACCATAATATTGAGGGAGTTTTTCCATCTGCTTTAACAGCACCTGCCAAGGGACTATTTGGGGCTCCAGCCTTTTTTTTGGAGGATAGAGAGTGTGGATACCCTCAACTCACAGTTCAATATTTTCTCCAACTGACAGTGTGATCAGAGTGTGTGTAGTGTAACTCAGAATCTCTCCGTTCAGGCAGTGTGGGACCCTGCTTTTGTCTGCAAGCCCCTTAAGTCATGAAGCCAGCCTGGTCATTCAGAACATAAGATGACTGGTGAATAGCAGTGAAGATAGTAATTGTGTAGAATTCACCATAATCACAGTTAAAATACAAATAATGGATGTAATAATGTTATAGTCACTCATAATTGATTCACTGATACTAGTTGGTTATTACCATGTGACATATATTTTCAGATTCTGTGAGAAAAAGTGCACGAGAGATGATAAGTGTTTAGCTCCCCACAATCAATAAGATTCCTCAGAAAAGACTACAGTTACTGCTTTGTCCAGGACATTTTAATCCTCTTTCTCGGAGTTGTTGGTTAAAATCGTTCTCGCATGGTAACATTGCTTTGCAAACTGAATTACCGTAAGAATTTTGTTTTCGAAGAAAACAAAAACTGATACAGTAGCTTGTAGCCTAAACAAAAACTCTGATACATTGAGGGCTAAATGTTATTGTTACTTGCGAAAGTATTTTGGAAAATTTGCATTTAAACAAATTCATTTGGGAACATAATCAGGGACAGTCATATGAAGAAATGAAAAGTGTAATAATATCCTGCTTTATTAGGTATCTCCTTGAATATAATGGTTACTCCTTAAATACTTAGGTGACCACTTCTGATGTCCCCTCCATAGGCGCTGACTCCATGGGTGCTCCGGGGCCCAGCCAATCAGCTCCTCCTCCCCAGCACCTCCTGCCTGTCAAGGATCAGATGTTCAGTGGAGGGCAGGAGGTGCTGGGGGCGGGAGGGGGAGGACTGGGAGCAGAAAGAAGCAGAGCTAGAGTGGGGTGCGTTCAGGGGAGGGGGCAGAAAGTGCCAGAAGAGGCAGAGTGGGGGTAGAGTGGGGGTGGGAAGAAGCGGGGCAGGGATGGGGCCTTGGGGGAAGGGGTGGAGTGGGAGCGGGGCCTGGGGTGGAGTTGGGGGTTGAGCATCCCCCAGGAAATCAGAAAGTCAGTACCTTTGGTCCCCTCTACTATTTCATTATTATTCTATAGGGTTACCAGATAGCAACTATGAAAAAACGGGACAGGGGGTGAGGGATAATAGCGCCTATATAAGAAAAAGTCCCCAAAAAGTGACTGTTCCTTTAAAATGGGACATCTGGTCACCCTATTATTATATATGATTATTAACATACACTTCCATTCCTATATACAAATATTTTAAATAGTTAAACATTGTATGTTTCAAATAAACTATAGTAATTCATAGGGTAAAATTAACAAATGCACAACACAGAAGTTTCATTAAAATATATATAAGCTATAATTACTCTGAAATAAGTAAGAGATTTGAAGTGTTTGCTTGTCTCTTCCACCAAAAGAAGTTGGTCCAATAAAAGATATTACCTCACCCATCTTGTTTCTCTCATAACTAAGGGGTGACAGTTAGATTTATGAAATAAAATAATCTATTGAACTATAGCACATACAAGCTTATGCAAAGTTTAGTTACGAAAACTAAAATAATACAGTCTTGCCAATTTAAAATAACAACTAGGTATTCTGTTTTAAATTTATTTTGGTAAACTGTAACAAGAAA